CGTGGTTTTCATCGGCAAAATGCCATAGCTGAATACAAATTACCTGTTCCAGTATGCATATAGCGTTAAAAGCTGTAGCGAGTATTTTCGTCTTAATTCCACGAGGGTCACAGGCTTCGTCAAAGTTGTCACTGCTCCAATTAATGGCCAACCGGAGAGAGAGAGTTAATCGTCTCCTGAATTATTAAAGTTACCATTTCAATGACATAATTGCTGTGCCGGCTGATGGTTTTCTGCTAAACAACATGCTTCTGTAGTAATGGTGCATCTCAGTGGTCTAAGTGCTCAGTAGTACGTCGGTCTGACTACATACCACCTTATCAGCGAAGAAATATTTCTGTTTGAATAAACTTATCACGAATCACTTTATGCTAGATATTTGGCATTAGAAACAGTGGTTTTAAAACTGATTAATTGCCTTGCGTTTATCCGTTTGAATGCTTCCTTAACTAGTGTAAATGTGATAATTTATGTCAAATCCTTAAAGCATTTTAAATGAACTTATGTGACCTTTGTAAGTTGACCTCATGGCCCTAATACTTCTATCTTAGTCGATTGCGCTTAATGTGATTTTACGCCATCAAATGCATTGCCCAGACTATCCTTTTTGTTCACTTGAGTGGCCGACACTACTTACAATATTTTTTATTTTGAGAAGTCAGTGTATGTTTGAATTTGAAAATTTGGAAGGAGGGCGATTTGAAACTATCTTCTTCCAAATCGTAATTGATTCTCAATTATCAATTTATTATAAATTTCCTTAGGTAGTATGTCACTTTGCCTATTATTATTATTATCTAAGTCGAATTAAGAGTAAATAAGCAAGTGCAAAATTTCTGGAAGACATACAATTCATTCCAATTACGTTTTTACGAAGCATTATCTTTGTACACCAATCAGTAGACAATTTCAACTTCATTCATTTCTATTAAGGTAGGTAATTGCGTAAATACACTCATGTTGCATTGATTAAACTTTCATTTTTTGGAGGAAAAAAAACAAAAGAAAACTTCGCGATCAAATGATTTTAAGGACCATGTAGTAGTTATTGGTATTCAACTTCACTAACTCCGTTGACAACATTCATATTCCTCATGGAACAACTTCGAAACGCCATTTAAACTGTCAATTATTTTGAGGTTAATGGCATATCGGTAGATCGTGAAAGCAAGGCAATGGTATAAAAGAAGGCGATTTATTAACAGAAAATGCGGGTTTTCGAGCTCATTTATCAATAAAGCGAAAATTTCACTACTACGACAAGAAGTGAGGAGGTCAAGTCTTCTCCCAACATCCCCCCCCCCCTATCTCCACTGATATTTACTAGGTGCATAATAGAATGAGAAATCAGATGTCTCAGGGGGCTGACAATTAACTGTCTTAAAGGGAAATGTTATTTTACCGTTCAGAATTGATGAATAGGCATGAGATTTGAGGTGACAATTACAATGCTCGAACCCATGCTGTTTCCATCTCCCGAGCATGATTTTGTGCTTGGTAATCATGTGATACAGTGGTGTTAAATTGGTAAAAAAACATTCAACTAAATTACGAGGGAGTAGAATACTAGTAAACATCATAAACCGATGAAAAATAGACAAGTAAATATGGAAAGTCGGTGCTATGAAAGTAATTTGAAAGAATTATGAAATTACAGCATAGTTTTGTAGTAAGACTCAAATCAAAATAGAATAAATTGGCTATTAGTTTTCAGATATCTAATACTTTTAAGTAAAAATGTCTGAAGAGTGAAAAAAATATGAAGTTTTAATTTAGCAATTAAAGGAAGGAGGCTAAGAAACAATCGAAATTGGACAGACAATTGGCTCTGTCTAATCTTTGTGATTACCCAGTCTTCAAATCATTAGATCATAATATTTATTATTCTCGCCAAATAATATTGCGAATAATTGACGAAAAGAGCAACCAAATAGCCTGCAAAGGGCGAAAGAGGGTAGTCAAGTCAAGACAGTACAACCGGCACAATTGCTCGAACTCTGATTTCACAAGAATGTTCCCTTTTCATTTATTTCACTTTGGCGTATCTTAATGTTTTATAATTCATATTTATGGAACGGATCCCTAGATTCTTGAGTGAGTTCAAATAATCTTGAACAAGGGGTGCGCGATGGACTTACCTCCACGTGGTGCACCCTGGGCAACGTATACTCATACGGCAAAAAAGTCTATTAATCGGCAGTTGACTTCTGACTTCAAACTACCATTACCCCACTCTATGTCATATTCGACCCCTTCCACAGTATTCATCTAGCTTTTTCTCTGCCTTTTGTGTCTGTCTGTCTGTTACATGTGTGAATCGCTCTTCTTTCCCCCTGTTGAATTTTTCTCACTTTAATGTTCCTCCCTTCTGTGAAGCCCGAAGTCCACTAAAGGGCTAATGATAACTATCAAAATGCCTGCCATTTGAAAGAAATAAATAAATCTAATTGAAATTATTCTGCTATTTTTAGCTGCGGCAAACAGAGCCCTAAAATCTGAGCGGGAAAAATCGTTCTCCTCTGTTCATGACAGACTTATTCGAAATTCGGAGAAATCTCGGATCACACAGCCTCTCCTTGATCGAGCTCATCGCTTCCTAGAATCATTCGGAAAGATGAACTCCATGAAACACAGTTTCAAACATAATAGCGATCAATTTGGTGTTTCTTCTCGAATGATTTGTAAGTTACACTAACAGGAGCTTGGTGTTGTTGAAAGTAATTCAAGTGCCAATGAGATTTTCATTTTTTTATTTAAGCAAAATTCAAAAGATATTCTCAAGCTTCTTCACAGAAGCCACCATATCTACCCCAATTTCCACCATTTTCGACAAAAGACGATGGCATTATGCGCAATCCATTCTTCAAATCTCCTACTTCATCTACCAATCCATTCCCGCTAGATTCTCGGGCGTTCTTTCTTGGTCGACCTTCTCTTCCCAATTTTCCACTACCTGGTTTGTCCTCTCAGGAGAGCCATTTACCATCCATGTCACCTACTAACTCATCAATTTCAAACCCATCAAATTTACTAGCAGAGAAGCTTGCATCTCAGCTGCTGTCAAACACTTCACAAATTTCTCCCTCTCAAAGCCAAACCACTGCTCAAGATTTGTCTGTAAAATCAAATAATTCACCCACTTCAATCACGCCAAAGCCTAAGGATAATATCTTGAGCATTGATAAATTACTTGGTAATACTAATACCGAGAAGCCTCACGAACGTCAATCATCACCTTCTTCAACACTCTCGGCTGCTATTTCACCGGAGCTCACAAATAACTTCAAGTCAATCTCGCAGAATGATATACCAAGTTCGCTAGCTCAAGGAATGGCTGCCGAACTCTTCAGATATCTCCAAGCTAATTCCCTTCCACCACTCCCTCCAATACCTTCTATATCTCCAAGAAGCAGTTTCATTCCACCTCCTCCCTTGAATTGGATGAAGTTACTGCATCATCGAACTTAATATCTACTCTCTGGCTGTTCAACCGCTGTTACTACTAGAAGGAGGGAGCAACAGATCTCACCAGAATTAATGCAAAGATCTCATTAGGAGAAAACGCCACTAACTCACCTCACTTATTACCAATTAAGAAGAAGGCTTTATTTGCAATTCGCTTTCTCCAACAAACGCAAAAAAACTGTTAGCAAACTGTGACGTTTCCAATTATGGGCTGTAATTTTTCAGTTGTACTGTGCACAAATATACCACTGTACAAATATATCCTATATATGCCTTGTTTTAACCCTAACAAACGTTAGAAATCGCTTAATGGGTATTTAATAGTAACGTGTAATTAAATTCCACAACGTATTAACAATTAGTGTGGTAAATGATCGGGTGGACAAATTTATGCCACCTAAATATTTTGCCAATTGGCAGAGGTATTTAACAGTGGTAATTTCAAATTACTCCTTCAATATATTTAAAACGGACCACAGGAATGGGAATTGGGTCAGATTATTTTGAAGATTTCGAATAGCGTCTTGTTCAACTTCGTGATTTCTCATTCACCTTCTCCTCGATAGCTAGTTTGAAAACATGAGAACACACTCATAATGTACCTTTTTCAAGTTATGTAATTTTTCATTTTTCGAGGAAGTTGTTGAATTTTAATTTCTCTTCGTTCATGAGCTTTCTTGATTGATTAATACATCGAGTACAAAAGTGATTTTAGCAAAAACTCTCATAAAAATGCGTTTTTATTTCTTCAAGGGATTTGGTCTAAAAGTGACGCTTAGGGACGTGGTGAGTTGTGTATCGAAGTTCATGCTGAACATATTTAGA